TTGGAGATACCAATAAGGAAACCGGTGTTTTCTTTGTTAAAAAACAAACAAAAAAACTTTGAACCCGTGGTACAATCCACTCCAATGACGAATCGCTGTGCTTCGGCTACAAAACGTTTCCTGTCAGCTAAAAAAAAAAAAAAAAAACTATGTCTTTTTTTTTGAAGTTTTGAGATGATCAATCTTGCTTTAGTTGGTACACTATACTAAAGCTTTTTAGGGCGCAGAACTTAAGTGCCCATGTCCGGGTTAAGCGGCGTCGGCGTCGGCGTAACCGCACGTTGCATTATGGAACGTTTCCCCGTTAAAGTTAGCAGGGAAATTTTTCCACTAAATTTAGAGGGAAAAATTTATTCGCTAAATTTAGCGGGGATTTATTTTTTTTTTTTTTTTTGCTAAATTTAGCGGGGAGAGGTTTCCGCTAAATTTAGCGGGACAACTTCCCGCTGAATTGAGCGGAAACATTTTCCCGCTAAATTTTACGGAAAACTTTCCCCGCTAACTTTAGTGGGTTAAATGTCCCCGCTAAATTTAGCGAGGAAATCGAAGTCACCTGACCTCAACACCAATTTAAATTCCCCGCTACATTTAGCGGGGAAAATGACACCCCGAATTCGTGTCACGTCGCCCATGAACAAATTCAGTGGCAGGAGGAGAGGAGGCGGAGGGCAGAGGAAGACGGGATCGGTTCGGAGGAGGAGGAGGAGGGGCATAAATTATTTCCGCACCCTCCCCTCCTCCTCCTCAAGAGCTGCTCACTAGTTTCACATTACAGAGATTTGCAAACGTCTTTCATTTTCAGAGCACAGCTCTTAGGCGCCCGTTTCCTGGATGAGCGGCGCCGCTATCGCCGTTGCCGTCGGCACAACCGCGCGTTGCATTACGGGACGTCTTTCATAATGACGCCACACGTGACGTTACGTGGGTAAACTTTTTCCGCTAAATTTAGTGGAACAATGTTTTCGCTAAATCTAACGGGTAAATTTTCCCACGCAATTTAGCGGGAAAATTTTACACTCGTGACGTTACACGTGACGTCACTGTGACGTCACGTGACTGAATGCGGCGTCACGTGAAATTTAGCGGAAACATTTCCCCACTAAATTGGGCGGGGAAATCGACGTCACGTGACCTCAACACCAATTCAACTTCTTCGCTAAATTTAGCGAGAAAATGTTCGCTAAATTTTCCTCTAGGTTCAGCATTAAAATGTTGGTCGATTTCCCGCTAAATGACAGAGGAGCGTTAAAGGGGGGAGGGGAGGGCACGGCGGGGAGGAAGGGCATACCCTCCCCTCTCTACCCTCATCTCCTTTTCCTCTAGAACCGGGCTCTAATTTGGCATTACAGAAAATTGTAAACGTCTTTCTTTGATATTGTAGTGAGTGCGCAGGCGAGCTGGTGGAAATTAACCATTCTGATGTTAGCCTGAGACTGAGGCAGGAAAAGAGGAAATTTCAAAGTAGAAGAGAAAGGAACAGTCGAGGATACGTCTCTAACACAGCTTTCTCTTCTACTTGAAATTTCCTCTTTTCCTGCCTCAGTCTCCGGCTAACATCAAAATGGTCTTTCTTTCTTTCTTTCTTTCTTTTTTTGCGCATTTTAGCCATTTTTAAAATTAATATACCTGAGTCTTAGTCGTCACAATGCAGATTCCAAATTTTCAGTATATACACACGAGAATTTAAAAAATGGAAGAAAATCAACCAATATTTAAAAGAAAACGTGAGAATGAGTTTTCTCTGCTTGGGAGAAGAGCGTGTTGGTTTAAGTCATGGATGAAGAAAGAATAAAACAATTAAAACAGGGACAACACAACCACACCTTTCAACTAGCAACAGACGAGTAAACTTTCAAACAGCGAGCAGCCGACTATACCCAGTAGGAGTAGGGGAGAGAAGGGGGAGAGAGAAGGAAAGAAAAGAAACGCGAAGTGCAAGTCAGGGTGGTAGGGTTATCTCGGATTTTAAAAATTCAACCTCAGTTTTCGTCAGCAGGAGGGAAGGGTTAGACACGTTGTTTTTTGCTGTGGTCATCGCGAATGATTCTATGATTTCCCTGCCGAATCTGCTGTCATGCCCCCCCAGGATTTTTGTGTCATCAAAGAGGGGATGACAACGCAAACACGAACGGGCATGTATGACTATGGGATGATAAAAATCTGGAGAGGCCTTAGAAACTCCGTTGTGATGTTCGCGGAGTTTGTGATTGGTGCATCTGCCGGTCTGTCCTATGTATTGATGGCCGCAGCTCAAGGGGATGGAGTAAACTTTCTTCTCTTTGCATGGAATGAATTTCTTTTCGTGTTTGACGGTGCAGCCGATCGGAATCCGGTTGTTGTTCACTTGTTGAGACGCATGCGGCACGAGAAGACAACATTCGTGTCGAACTTTGAGGCACCATAAAATGCCCACCGGATAAAATCCATTGCCTCAAAGTTCGACACGAATGTTGTCTTCTCGTGCCGCATGCGTCTTAAACAACTCTGTCAACAAGTGAACAACAACCGGACTCCGATCGGCTGCACCGTCAAACACGAAAAGAAATTCATTCCATGCAAAGAGAAGAAAGTTTACTCCATCCCCTTGAGCTGCGGCCATCAATACATAGGACAGACCGGCAGATGCACCAATCACAGACTCCGCGAAAATCACAACGAAGTTTCTAAGGCCTTTCCACATTCTTATCATCCCATAGTCATACATGCCCGTTCGTGTTTGCGTTGTCATCCCCTCTTTGATGACACAAAAATCCTGGAGGGGCATGACAGCAGATTAGGCAGGGAAATCATAGAATCATTCGCGATGACCACAGCAAAAAACAACGTGTCTAACCCTTCCCTCCTGCTGACGAAAACTGAGGTTGAATTTTTAAAATCCGAGATAACCCTACCACCCTGACTTGCACTTCGCGTTTCTTTTCTTTCCTCCTCTCTCCCCCTTCTCTCCCCTACTCCTACTGGGTATAGTCGGCTGCTCGCTGTTTGAAAGTTTACTCGTCTGTTGCTAGTTGAAAGATGTGGTTGTGTTGTCCCTGTTTTAATTGTTTTATTCTTTCTTCATCCATGAGTTTTCTCGCAAGCATAAATAAAATATGCTTACTGTTTTAATCGTAATCTCGAAACTTCCATCATCACATACTATGTGGTGCCTTGGAACCGCGACAAGGTTCACCAGGACAGCAAATAAGTACCCCGCCTTCAAAATATTTAGAACACGTGTATCAGAATCTCTGTCACCACAGGAAACAATCTAAGTGCCGCGAAAATAGTTTTCGCCGCTGCAGTTAGCCACGTGTTTGTAGGACAGAAAGCGTTGTAATTCGATAGGACACGGTTCACTTAAAACCGGTTGTTTTACTTCGAAAGCAACTCACGTTTCAATGGTGCAACGAAAGCGTATGTATAGATGCCTCCGCACCACCGGAGTTTATGTCAGTTCAAACAGGTTCACGCGTGCACAGTCTTTTAAAAAACTGTAAAAAAAAAAACAAAAAAAAAACCCCGTCGAAACGGGTTGTTTTTTGGACAAAGTTGTGAGTCCCTGAAGGCATCGTGCGTGTTCGCATCAACGGCAACATAAAACGACAAACTGCCGAGCGTCGTCCTCCATTGAACTTTTTTGCTAAATTACTGAAGCACCGAGGAGCGTGGGCGTGTGTAGTTACACGTGCTGCGCGTGCTGCCTCCTTCAGCAGTAACTCTTCCAAAGCAATAAAACCCAAAACAAATCGCGCTCGGCACGAATGATCATCGGCGCCTTATTTTGGTTATTTATTTCGAATGTATTAAACAGATAAGCCGAGCGCGAGCAGCGCGTGTGCTTACGTTCCCAGCATTCTCCTACATACCTGGGTAATCTGGCCAAATGTTTATTCGGTGCCCAAGAGAGCTTCCATTTCAACCACCGCGGCAAGCGGCGCGATGTCGTAGACGGCCGTCGCGCACGAGTGAAGCCGCGTGGCCGCGTTACCAGAACGGCCTTGTGGAAACGCCTGCACTCAGGACAGCACTCTTTATTCCTGCGGCGCGCCAAAACAAAATCCTTACTTCAAATCGTTGCCAAAATTGCATGAGTTGAAATCTAAACGGTCCAGTTGCTGTTCGATTTACACCGAGACCCTTTCCTCCATTCGGCGTTCGACTTCGAAGCTTCGAACGCAGGAACACCGTGCTCAAGTCGAACTCCCGAGACACCACCAGCGCCGCCAGCGCCGATGTCTCCAAAGAATCCTTTCAATAAATGCACGGGCAGATCCCCGTCCTAATCCCCCTACCCCTAGCCCCCATAACCTTAGCAGCTCCATGGGCGCCTGATAAGTGGAAATACAAGAATAAGTGCTTTCCATCAGTCAGGCGGGCCAACACCGCTGTTTGAAGCGAGCCCTCTTTTCTCTGACGCCAAGTTGTCAAGGTCATCTGTGTACTTGTTTTCGTAATAAAGTTTAAATGAGAAATAACATTGCACAACACTATACCCGACCTTTTATTTTTTTCAATAGATTGACGTTTTTTGTTTTCTTTAACTCGCCGTACATTGGACACAAACGATAAAGCCACAAGTTGGGCCGTTTGGCACTCGGAATTACATTTTTTGCGAACGTCGGAACAGTTTGCTTTACGTGGAATGGGACGGTTAAGAAGAACAGGAAGGTACTATGTATAGTGGCCTTGAGCAGGGCAACCTGCTTTGCGGCGGGCACCAAACACTATTATGCGTGCGATAATTATCCGGGATGTAGCTCTTACGTTCTCCAGAGGCGTTCTGAGAAATAACGCTGAACGATCCTCGCGTCGCTAGACATTGCGCTTGTGGCTGGAATAGCGCGCCCGACATAGCAACCCTTTCCTCCGGGGGCAACAGTTGACGCACCTGCCGCATGGAGGCGAGGGAATCGCTTGCTTACCTTGTTTCACCTTCTCGCCCCTGGCACTTCTTTTTTTTTTTGTACAATCGCACGTTCGTTTCCTATTGATAACCACCCAGTGCCAGAGCGGCAGTCCTCACGTGCGGCGCGCTCTCGCCTCGCGACGATCAACGTAGTCGAGCCCGTCGACACATGACACTTCATCTGAGCTTCCCGCGTTGGCCCAAGACGTGTGAATCTCGTGTTTCAAGCTTCCGATCCGGTCGTCTAAAAGCGGCGGTCGGCGGATGCAGAAAGTGAAACGGCGCTAGTCAGCGCATGCCTGCATTTTGGATTCCTGCGTCAGGATACTGACTTTGAAACAGGAAGATACCTGACAGGTGAAAGAGGAGGTGCGTGAAAGTGAGTGGAGAAAGGGCAAAAGAACGACAATGAGCGCGGTGAACAGCCGTAACGCCTTCGGAAAGATCAACCTTGAACCCTGGGATATTGTGGTCGTGGTGACGTACTTCGTAGCTGTGATAGCTGTTGGAATTTGGGTGAGTACCATTTTTTACTGAAAGTCACGTGGATTATACTAATTGCAATTATAACCCAATGGCTGTTCTATTTTATGTAGGCTTAAATATGTAGCGCTCGAACATGCGCACAGTACGTAAATTTAAGATTCATTGTTCTGAGGAACCGCATTTTTCAGGACAGCAGGTCCTAGCGTACAGCAACACTGTTGTAGCCGGAATTTTCTAGAAAATATTGGAAAGGCAAGGGGGAACCCACGAAAAGAAACATGATTGCTACTTTTAACTTAAAAATACGGTCTAGGTCATGACTGGTAAACACCTACACCGTTCGTGAAAAGCGTAAATTCTGCATGAGCCCAAATACACAAAAGAATGTACTGAAGGTCACGCGTCCCATTCTGGTCGTTACTATGTTTCTCTCCTCCTCCACATGAACACAATATGATAATGTTATTGTTTGCTTATTTGAAATCTCAGAAGTATTTATTAGATTAGGGCTTTATTCAAAATGCTCACTGTAGTTAATTTTCTAGAAAGGGGGGGGGGGGGGGAGGTTCTGTTGGTCAGTTGGTGTAATACACAAACTCAAGTCTCTGACGTCATTCCACTGCGGTGGCGCTGCTTTCTGCACTGCGCATGCGTAGATGCTTTGCCTCAGGCGAATATGGTTTCTGCGCGCATGCAGTGGGGGGAACATTAATTGCCTGAGCGAATTACTATTTAATTGTCGCTCTTTGAAGTGGCGCTTGTGAAACTATGTACCGTGCAGCTCGCATTCGGTGTGGAGATCAAGAATCAGCAGGGAATTAATACATTTGTGCTGGCAAGTTTCACCCTTATGCTTACGCGATACGAATCCCAATGTATAAAAATTTCAGCATGTAGAATGGTATATGTTTGGTCTATAACAAATCCTGATTTACGTTAGTCGACCATTTTAGGATTGTTTGTAGTTCTCTTTGAATTGTAATGTTTCAGTAACAGAAAATGCAGTGGCTAGTAAGTAGGCAGTATAGGCAATACAAGTATAATAAATAATTAGCAAATATTTGCTGACATGGAGTACGTCTACGTCTTCCGGCTGTCAATCAGAGTTTTGGCAAGCTATAGTTTCGAGCAGGAACAGCCTGGCTCTGCGTTATCTCTTTTTTTTTTATATCTTTTCTGATACCATTGTATTGTGTGAGAGAACAGGAAAAGGCAAGGCATTGATTACAATAATATAGAGCGTCATTTTCGTTTATTGTGCGCGATGTCCGATTGACGTGTACTCTTCAAACGCCGCTCCACTTTTTCCGTAGTAGGTGCGGCGTCACCGCGACAAAAAATACGAGCTTGGCATTCGTGATTTGTATCATAGTTCGCAGAGGCTCACCTATCAATTCTAAATTCACGGGTGAGCGCAACGCATAATTTCGAGGTCATTGAACTGCTACTTGTCTTGGAGTTTTGGCTGCGTGCTTTTGCCTCATAAACTGCCTTAGGCTGCAAGTAAAAAAGTACATGCTAAAAGCGCTAGGTCACGGTGTGTTCACTGCGATAGATTGATCCAGTCGATAATAGCGCGCACACACATACTCACAAAAAATATGACAAATGCCGTGACGCTGCAGTTTCGTCGCTGTTCGATTCACTTGATTAGCTTAGCGCTCTCTGCGCTCTTACTTTATCATATTTGTTTATTCTTAATTTGAAATACTCTGTACCTTGCTATTTACAAATATTCACCATGCAATCAAAAAAACAATTCAGCTAAGGAAAAACAAAAATGGCTTGCACAGGTAGTGGTTGCAAAAAAAAAAAAAAAAAAAGATAAACTAAATGGTGGATAAAAATTGGCTATTGGAACAAGCGAATCACGTACCTTCTTGACTTCGGAAATGGTCACGTTTGATATCATCAAATCTAAAATGTTTCCAGCACAGTTTTTAATCATATTGTGCTCATGAAGCCAGTTAGAATTGATACAATGCCTCAGACACTGCGCTTTCTCTTATATTGCAGCACAGTCACTCTCGATAAGGCCTGAACGCCAGCCTACTTTTGTAACATTAAAATCACCGTAAATGTGCACCTTGCATTTGGAAAAATCAATTCGCTTCTCAAGGTGTGCAACATGGTCTACAAAAAAGCTAACGTCAGAATATGGCAGAAAATAGTAACAGCCAACAAGATAGTTCTAGCCGTCTGACGCCGGTATTTCCAACCAAACGCACTCCTCATACGTCTCCAGATCTTTTCGCCTAAATGGATAAAATTTAGACTTGTATGCTATATACAAGAACACCACCTCCGTGTTTGACCGATTCATTGTAATTTCTGTTGGCCCTAAAAACAGATAATTGACCTGAAAATAGGAACTACTTATGCAAGCTCCATTGAGCCACGTTTCCGTCAGGCAAATTATATATTCACAGAAAAGAGAATTAGAAAAAAATACTTCATTCGATCCTGAAACCTCTCGTATTTTGATAGTACATGTTAATTTGCCTTGTCATTCTTGGAGGTAATTAGAGTGGTATCAGGATCTTCGAAATGCCGTGAAGGCGACAACTTTTCATTCACAGGGCGACGGACCCAGCCGACATTCCACGCATAAAGTTTGTTTACGAGTTCAAACAATTCCTTATTCATAGAGATGTGGAAGGAACTGTACGTCATATACCTGGTTTTCAGTTTGGTGGACGTGATGGTCTTGTCCCCAAAAAGCCACGTCAGAATTTCTTGTACATCCTATGGTTTATAGTCCGAAGCCAGACTGGAGACGAAGAGGCCTGTCGCCACAGACGGCTTTCTGATGACCATTGTTTGGGCGTACCAAACGTGGCTGGAGGCCTCGGTATCTTCGTTTCCTGGTCGGTCGAGTGGCGCAGAAACGTACAGTGTTGGCGGGCAGGGACTTGGACCGTACAAAGCTAAAGTCGAGACTCGGGCAAGTTGGTACATACTTCAGAATTAAAAACAGCGCGAAAAGACGCGGACGAGACGAAAACAGCGCTGCATCCGTGTTACTTCTTCGTCTGATCCTTGTCTTTTCGCGCTGTTTTTAAATTCTGAACTGAACAAAAAGGCTGGGTTTGAAGCCAGCGCCCGCAGCAGTTGGGAGATCCGCCACAACCGAAGCGAAACTATACCCGTCGTCGGAGCTGGTTGCCGGTCCCCGTTGAACAGCGGTGCACGATGTCCTGTTTGCCCAAGAAACATTCTCGTAGTTCATACACTCAACACGAAGCGAACTTTTTCCACTCGTAGCTGCCGCACTTCGCGGATAAGTTCGTCTATTTTCGCCACTGTTGACTCGAACAACCGGCTAACATTTGGCAAAGAATTACCGTAGTCAGCATTCGCAGAGTTCAGAAAGCCGCGATATCGTTGGGAGGCGTGTCAGCGATGCTGGCGTCGGAGAGAGCTCCGATGTTGACGGATAGCGTCGCTTCGTACACGGAAGGCACTTATACTTGCTGGTCCCGGAGTTCGTGAGATATTCCTCAGCCTGAACACTGATGCATTTACAAGGAAACGCAATTTACGAGACGCACAAGGGAAGAACTGGGACCTGGCACAAATCGACAGGGAGCATTCGCCCATAAACGGGCGTCTCACTCGCACCGGAACTGACTTACAGGAAAATATCCCCAGATGTGAGGAGACGTCGATTTTTCAGTACGATCCAGAAACCGACAGGTAATCGATGCACTTAAAAACTCCCACGTCGTCAAAAGTTTGGAATAAGGCAAGAATGAGCAAGTCGAAAATGAAGGCAACGCTGATTGTTTTTGCTTTTTTTTATTAATGCAGTGGTCATGGTCAAATGGATACCACGGGTTCACAGTTAATCAGCAGTATTACCTTGAAGTTATATCCAAGCCGAGAGAACGAGTGAGGAAGGAGAGAGCCATGTTATAAAAGATCAACGCGTGAATTGTGCATTAGGACAATGCTCCAGCTCACTGTTCTCTGTCTACAAAGCAATTTCCTGCGTATAATATCCCAGTGCTGGACTGTCCACCTTGATCGCCCGATTTAACGTCATGTGACTGTTAGTTGTTTCCTAAGGTAAAATCCGCACTAAATGGAACCCATTTTCAGACTATGGATGAAATAAAGGAAGAAAAGGCAGCTCTGCTGAGAGCTTTACCTGCAGTACTGTTTTAAGAATAGAAACTTCGTACGCAACTGTGAATAGGTAAGGGAGGGGAGTATGTTGAAGGGGATAACGTTAATTGTTAAAAGTTTAATAATAAATTACACTTTTTTCCACCAGCCCCGTTATTTAATAGCCACACCTATAATAAATGTTGGGTCACGCACTCAAACAACTTGACTATGCAATTCATTTGAGCGTATTTTAAATAATTCAAAATTGTAACAATGACAACTTGCTCGGGAATAGCATACCACTCAATTATATTTTTACAGAAGCAAAAGTATTTAAAAACGTCATTTCTGTACTGGAACGCAGCAAAACTTTTAGTGTTGGTCGTCCTTAGGAGCGCGACGAAAGTATAATAAATCTAATATAAAAATTTTGCTATTTTGTTCTAAAAGAAAAGAGAAGGCAATTTTGCAGATGGTGTTTTTTTTATACTTGCTTTCACCTGAGGTGAAACGAAGTATAGTGAAATAATTTTTTTTTGTTTCTCCCAAACAGTGTTTTGTTATGAAAACAAAGGACAAAACGAGAAATGCAATTATAATGAAACAAATGCGAGTCTCAAATACCAAGCGCACAGCCTCCGAGCGTAGTTATTTAGCCTCCGGAAGGTTTCCATAAAGTTAGCAAGGGTTGCTTTATCCTTGAGTTTCGAGCGTGGCTGGAAAATGCCGAGACTTGCTCTTGTATTCTTGCACTACGCGCCGAAGGGCAGGAAGCTAAAAAAACGTTGACGGCGTGGAAATCCCCAACGTGTCCGCCTCGCCGTGTACTCGCATAGCTTGCAAACATAAACCTTCTCGGAAGGCTCAGATTGGAAGTCAACCTCTTGTTAGGAGACGTTCGGAGCTTTGTCGTTTAGCCGGATCCTACAAAAAGCGTTTGCTTCAATATTTTTCCAAAACACACATGCACCTAAGAGTAAGCACCAAAAACAGAAGGATCCCAGAGAGGGGAAAAGTTTATAATAAAAATCTTGAAAATTTTGACGTGTGCAGAGACAACGAACAAGTGAAACGTAGTGCTAATATATGTGTGCATGCGTTGCCTTTTTTATGTCTAACCATATCTTGAGCTTCGTCATTAGTGATCGGCTGTCAGCGTGTTCTGTAGGAAAGTGAACATATACGTTCATAGAGTAAGAGATAACTGTGTCCTATCAAAACATCATACGCCAATTAGACTATCCCCGAGAGTTATTTTTTATATAACCTATCTAGAATTGTCGGCTTCCCTCAGACTTAGTTTAAATTATCTGGCGACCATTCTAAAAATGTTATGATTTTATGGTTTTTGGGTGTGTAATAAATTTACTTGTAATATTTGTCGCTTACCTACAGTCCATAGCATAATCCTTCATGCGTGATCTTGGCATCGTTAGCTCGCAATCTGAACATTGGCTTATCTTAATGTAATTGATGGAGATTATATGAGGTCTAGCCCCCAAAACTTGAGAGTATTGGGGCCTTTTATAATATGGACAAATGCTGGCCGTTTTAACAGGGTTTGCTAACAAATTGTTGTTCTCTAATGGCATACCAAGAGTTTGTGATGCAGTGCGTGAATATTGCCAAAAAGAACCGAGCACGCTCGTGCTTCAAGAGGAACAATTCTCGTTAACCAAAGCAATGTGTCCATCATCCAGCCAATAGTGATTTTTTTCTTATTTTTTGACAGTTAGTAGTCTAAACACGTGTTTTGATAATACCAAGATTACGCTGCCTTAGATTGTAATAATTTTGTAGACGTTAAATTATCAAAGCTCACTAACTCTTCTTTGAGATGACTTTATTCCTGGTATTCTGTACGAAGATACTCATATATTATAAATTGTTCTATACTTACCACCGGTACCATAATGAAGTTATGCACCTAGTGATAAGCAAGATAAAGTTTTCAGTGAAATAAAAGTATCATCGAAAACTTCACCAGGATTTATAAATCACGAAGAAAACTCAAGGTGCAACTTTACAATGAAAGTTTAAAAAAGAAAATAGCGGTGAGCTGAGGACACTGAAGGGATTTTGAAGTTATCTATGAATAAAATATACAGGCAGTTTTCTAATATAAGGAATAACAGTCATGTGGAACAGTCCATATCCGCGAAAGGTAAGTTGTTTATTTGTCAGGCGGCTGACGATTGTAATTCTATTATTATGTTGTGCCAGTTTTATGTTACCTTTCCAGTTATTTTATTTTCCTTGCCCAATGTGAGAGTGATTATGGCTTGAACTTATGCCCCTTGTTTTCGTTTCATTTTGTAAACTATGAATAAAAGGTAAAATTTAAAGGCTTGCAAGATGCTAAGTTTTACCTATTTTTAGGCTTGCGGCTTGAAATTCCTTGATTCTGATCGCATAAACACAGACGTAATCTTGATATAAAAAAAGGAACACAGAAATTTGTAGTTTCCGATATTCAACGGTTTCTACAAAGCAAGTGGGAAACAGTCTCCCTACCGTGACGTCCCCGTAACGGGCCTTCTAGCACGGGGCATCCGAACGTCTTGTAGCAACTTTGACTTTGATAACACCTTTGCATGTTATTAATTGTGAAGAATGTTTAAATAAACACTCATAGAAAGCAAAAAGCACAAAGCACGAAGCACTTCGACCTCGTCAAGCTGAGTCTGGATGTGCCTTGAATTTATTTCAGTCATCATGGAGGAGCAGTCGGGGCTCAATGAGCGGCTACTTTTTAGCGAGCAGAAGTATGCACTGGATACCCGTAAGTTCACGTATTTTTGTGTCTGTCTATAAGGAACTGTGGATTACGATTTCTGGGAAATTTACGAAAACTAAAGCACGATTTAAGAGAGGTAACTTGGGCGAGTTGGTGAATCATTACTAATTGAAAACAGCGCCGAAAATGACCGAGGATAGGTAGAAGGTGTATAAACAACAAGAGCTGTTTTTAACTGAAGTTAATAATGAAGAATCAAACATAAAGACGTTCAACCACCGAAACCGGAGTGCTTGTCGTGTCTACTCCTTCCACCTGTCCTTCGTCATTTTTTCTGTTTTCTGTTGTTGTATTTCTACAAAAGGTTTTATTGCTGAATTTGTTTCAAAAAGGCGCGAAATATTGATAAATTCTCTTGCTGAGTTGGTGATGGTATACTTGTATAATTATCAACTGTCATTTAACAACTAGAATATATAGCTCTATATTGATTGCAAGTATGGGAAGTGTGTGTGAAAACAAGCTTCTAAGCACCAATAAATGAAGAAATCATATGAAGCCTACGCGTGTATCCGCTTTATTCAGGATTTCAAAACGCCCGCTTTTTATCGCCGCGATCGGTTCCTCACTGAAGTGCCAAAAGCGTGCAGTTTCAACACGCAGTCACATAGGGTGTGAAATTACGTCAGGTAACTGGTTGCTGACATTCAAACGGCTCCGTTCCAGCATTTGCTTAGGTCTTTTAAAAACGATTAACGAAAACAAATGACACTTATGCAGGGTGTTCCGGTAAATGTATTGGCTGATATGTATGAGCTATCGCATATAAAGATCTACTAAATATCTTGTGAATACAAGGAATAACTTAAAACCTCTAAAAATAAAAAGTACTACCTTTATTTTATAAGAAACTATGTTACGAGGGATGGTCACATTTACTTAGTTTGGATAATTTCACTGGTAGGTGGGGGCTTCCCTGTTTGCCAGCAACATCGGGAGCGGACACTTCGTCGGCTTGGCTGGGTCGGGTGCCGCTTCTGGGATCGGCATCGCTGGGTTTGAACTCAACGTAAGTTTATCTCAGCATTCCTTAGAAAAAAAGTTACACTGGCTATTTATATCCTTGTGGATTTACTATTGTAGCCATCTACTAAAAAGACACAATTTTACATGAATTTCTACACCGATCTTTACGGATTAGACATTCGGTTCTTGACGGTAAATTTGGTAACCCCTTAATGCATATCTAGTTTACAACATAAACATTAAACGTTATTCAAAAGACGTTAGGGTTTTCAGGAATCGTTGATATACCAATCCCGGGAAATGTTAAAAATAACAAACGCATTTTAGATCAGAACATGAAAAAGCCCACCGTCTTTTGGCAAATATCTGTCGGTCGCCTGCAGCCTCTTCATCAGTCGTTTCACAGGTATAAATACGTTTTGTTATTATTTATGTGGTTTTGCGGCTATCAAATGGCAAGAACTGAGAAGATATCTGGATAATTGGATGCCTTTTCCTAAATGCACATTCCTCGAATAGGTAAATTAGCAGGTTACCAGTTTTAAGACGATTAGTTAGGATCTATATAACCTTTCCATATTCTTTTTATTTTAAGGTCATTACAGTTACTATTACACCCTGGCAGTATGAAGATCTAGCGTAACTGCGTTATTTGTCAAAGATATATTTATGAAAGAACTAATGTAGAGCCTTTCAGTATACAGATAGCCAGCTGAGGCGTGGGTAATTATGACTGCGTTTGAGAGTAGCATTCTGCGGCTGTGGTCGTGAAAGCAGTCAGCTATCCGCCAAAGCTGTGGAAATGTGGCGTTTATCAACCACCAGGATGCACTAGGGGTTTAAGAATTTCATACCTTCTAGACATTGGCATAATACGGCAGGGCGCTCATTGTTTCGACCAGTTTGCCATAAAAAGCTGTTCCCGAGTTAATCATCTGAATAAACGAGTCATGTCATGTGTAAAAGACTACAGGTAAAAGAGGCTCTGAAAAATAATCACCTTAAATTCCCAGTACTACAAGCATCACAATTAGTCAACTCCCTGTTATTGTTGCGGTTATGTGCAGCTGCTTGTTTACTTAGTGGGAAGTTTATACATTTAAGTCGTTACGATATCTGAGTTTTGACATTTACAGAAAACATCTTTCTTTCGTGTAGGCGCTGTTTGTCTTGATTTTGCTCGGCTGGTTCTTCGTTCCTGTTTACGTCGCCTCAGGGGTAAGCCTGGTTGAATATAATACATTCGAAGGACGTCAGTGGCCCAATGTGGACAACAAAGTAGCATAAGCCAAAAGACGTGACACCAGAAAAAAAAGGAAAGCATCATTAGCCCATAGGGCTTCCCTGTTTACAGTTTGTTAAACGGAAAACAAAAGTACATGGCCTCTAGAACTGTTGTATTGCCTAAGTCACAAATCCGTCCCGCTATCCACTATTCCCATTTGCATGCATTCCGAGACAAAATGCTGCAGTTATATGCAGTGCCCGAAACTTATGCCTGGTGACCTGAACCAATATTTCAACTTAAGATAAAGGCGTATCATTGAAGCTCAGACTCAGGTGAAGTACTCTGAAGGTAATTCTTTGGGCGCTTGTGAGGCAGTGGTAGGAAATTTATCTCCCACTTCTTTTTTCCCAGTGAGAGCAATACACTAGGCATCTTTGTGATTGGCGCGCCTTGAGTTCTGTAACAATGCTTTAAATCTCCATAATGCACTTCACCATCGATGGCTTTTCTCTTTTATCTGCTATGATCTAAATATCCCTGAAGTGAAATTGAAGCCTGCTCGATAACGAGATGGGAGTTGAGACTGCTGCTTTACGCTGAACAACCTGAAGTTGCGTATTTTCATAAAGCATAAAACGAAGTACGCATTTTACATAAGCAGAATCCTTTAATTTCAGTGACACAATATGCTATAAAAACTGTTGTCCTTAATTGTGGGGCCTTTCTGAAGGAGGTACTTTGGTCTGTGTCAGCTTTGGTTCGTAGGCGGTAATGTGGTTAGGCTAAGGCTTTTATTAAATACATATTTACAGGGTGATTCAAGGAGAGGCCAGGCTCTTTAAATCGACCGCAAAATTCGGTTTCTTAACCTGTCGCGCTACGACTTTGTGCAGCGTTGCCCACAGATGGTGCGTTTTTTTGTAAAATTTGCAAAGAGCGAACTTACCTGAGGAAAAAGGAAAGAAAGAAAAAGGCTTAGCTCCTATGGAAACGCAGCGACACCACCGGTCTTCAAACAACATGGCGCCGTTTCGCACGGGAGACAAGAGATGGCGCAAGCGGTCGCGATGCCAACTGCCGCCAACGAACGAGCATACGACGCCGAGAGCCGGCGTCTTTAGCAGACAAGGAACTGCAGTTCCGTTTGTTACCGCGCTTGTTTTTGTTTCTGCGTCTGTCACCGCCTGCGGAACGCGCGCCGCTTTTGGGTCGAAAAGATCGTCTGCTAAAGACGCCGGCTCTCGGCGCCGTATGCTCATTCGTTGGCGGTGTTCGACTTTTCGTTGCTCCATCATTTGTCTCCCGTGCGAAACGGCGCCATGTTGTTTGAAGACCGGTGGCGTCGCTGCGTTTCCATAGGAGCTAAGCCTTTTTCTTTCTTTACTTTTTCCTCATGTAAGTTCGCTCTTTGCAAATTTTACAAAAAAAAAAAAATGCACCATCTGTGGGCAACGCTGCACAAAGTCGTAGCACGATAGTTTAAAGGGGCACTGACATATCAAAATCGTAATTTATTTTATTATCCGAAACGATTGAAAATGATGCCGGGACATTACCCTCAAAATTCGAAACTTGGGAATTCAGCATTCGTGAATTAAAAAAACAATTTCCAAATGCCGAATTTGAAGTTCCCGCGCGATCCGCGCCATTGCAGTGAGTCAAATTTTGCGGTCTCCTGCGACTCGACTTTGTTTCGGACCTCCGCACCACGCTGTGAAGCAAAGCGCCGTTGCTACCGCGACCCGAAGAGAGGAGGAGGTGAGCAGGCGGGATAGAAGGGAGCCGGCGCGGGGAAAAACCGGTTTCTTCCCAGACTCGCTCGAGCGCCGCCAAATTTTCCGAGGGAGAACACAAATCCAGGAAGCGACATCAGACCGAAATCTGATTTTCGGTATTTCAAAAAGAAAGGCCGTAGTGCGTTCGTCATTGCGTTAAAAAACATGTTTTACGATTGCCGTTATTAAATGTTATAGAAATGTCGCCTACAAAGCTTCTAAATTTCCTGATTTTTGACGTCACCGATCAAAAGAAGCAAGGAGGTAAGCGCGGGAAATATAAACGCCAAAAATAAAAAGGCGCTCGCTCGCGCGGGGAAATGTTTTTTCGCGATGCGGTTTTTTTGCGTGTCTATGACTAAAACTTGCATCGTTTTAGACAATAAAAAAGAGTACGACCTTTGGGGTGTCAGTGCCCCTTTAAGAAACCGAATTTCGCGGTCGATTTAAAGAGCCTGGCCTCTCCTTGAATCACCCTGTACATTGGTGACAAAACCCGTCAGCGGTGCCAAGGCCACAGACAACAACCAATCAGCCACTTACAAATAGAGGTTGTCACAGGCTCTTGTTTTGGCTCTAGCAAGTATAAGTAAGAAATTACGCGCGACCTTTATCTATCTATAAAATCCTAAGGTACATGGAATGCAGCATCGATCGCTGATCGTTGAAATCTGCTAAAAGACATTAAGAAGTCGTTTCAGGGAGTAAAAAGTAACAATTTTAGTTTCTCCGCTGAAGTCACGTGACTTAATTTCCCAGCCAAAATTAGCGATTCAATTAATGTCACGTAATTTGACGTCATGCGATGTGCTCACGTGACGAAACATCACGGTTTCAAGTCCTGGCGGAAAGTGATTCCCTGACATCACGGGACGTCAATTTTGCTGCAAAATATGTGCGGGAATGGGCGGACGGAGGGACACATTTTTTGGGGTTAGGGGGTTGCGTTAGAGACCCTAAAAGGCTTTAAGATATACATATATCTAAAATGTTAGTTTTTGGACAACCGCCTTCATTTGTTCACACGCGCCTTCGTCACAATGTCATGATCCACTTATGTTTCCCCTCGGCAGGTGTATACTATGCCGGAATACCTTCGAAAAAGGTTTGGAGGCCAAAGAATTCGGATCTACCTCTCCGTGTTGGCGTTGCTGCTTTCCATATTCACCAAGATCTCGGTAGGCATTCGGGTTTTGCTCACATTTCTAGCATAGTCTGTTTTCTTCTGTTACTATAACGTGTTTACATGTGCGCATGACTATTTCCTGAAGAAAATTATGGAACTCAGCAAATTATTTTACACATCGTGTGGTTTTAAAAAAATTGACACAAGTAATTATGCTTACATGGTATTAACGTCGACGCCTTGGAGGACGCAACCGAGGCAATGTTGGTGAAATTATCTAAATAGCGAGAAAAAGTTTTTTTTTTTCAAATATAATTGCCTAATACACTTGACGAAAACTAGTTTTCATGATAAAAATGTTTTACACTCTTTATTTTGAGAAAATTTCCTGCATTATCATAGAGTGATCAGGTCCTGCAGTTACTGCACGTCTGGTAAACTAGAGAGCAATCAAATGCTTTGACTTTTTTGTCAGCAAAAAACGTTTAAATATTTATTCAACTTTTACATAACTTTTTTTCAATTTTTAAGAAACACTAGTCAAAATTCACTTATAGTTCCTTGGGTTCATATTAAAAATTAAAATTTCGATGAAAATATAAAGGTTATATAATAGACAAAATGTAAGGGCGCAAACGAGCTGGTGTACATTGCACATGGTTGAAAAAAACCCAAGACTGCGGGTAAACGACACAACACTAAAAAGTGTCTAACTCTTTAGAGACTTTTTAGTGTTGTGTCGTTTACACGCAGTCTCGGGGTTTTTTCAACCATATATAATAGCTCCAACAAGTTTGTCGCGAGCTCATGAAGAAATATTTTGTCGTTAAAAAACTTATACCTGCCAAAGATAAGCAGCCTAACGGGTTATGGCAACGCATAATGCCTGTATCGACAACAACGTAACCGCAGCTTGCATTTTTAGATCTCAGGTACAAACAAACGAACGATAAGGTACCGCTGGCTGTGTAGGTCATATGTTGAGGAAAGATTCTGTGTGCCTCCTTTGCAGGCTGATCTTTTTGCTGGGGCCATTTTCATCAAACAAGCACTGGGCTGGAACCTCTACTTGTCTGTTTGTGCTCTTCTTATTGTCGCCTGTCTCTTCACTGTTGCTGGTAAGGAGAGTAAATCAGTCTGAATCTGCTCTTGTGTTTAAAAATGTATTGGGCCAGAAAGAATTATACGCAGTTTATTTCTCGATCCACTAATACACACTTTTACGTCGTAGAGTACTGCCTCCGTATTGTGATTAAAGCCTCCAATGAGTTTCAACCCCTGGCACACCTTCCGACCAGAGAACTCGGATCATTGCTCTTTGTTTCTCCTCGGGGTACACTGCTAGCGGAGCGGCCATGTTTACAATAAAATAGAAGCAAGAAAAATGACGCTATCAAGGTCAAACTTCAAGAACGTAACCACACTAGTATCAACTCAAAGGGGTGTTGAACAAAAGGGAGTGTAAAAAAACTAAAGATGTGTTATGGCGAAAGTGCGGATAATTTTTTACCTAGCCCTCATATACACATAATACCGGGCTTGAATGCGCACTTTTTATTGTCTTTACAGGTGGTCTGAGCGCTGTAATCTGGACAGACTTTGTTCAAACTGTTCTCATTGTCATTGGGGCATTTGCACTTATGATTATGAGTAAGTATAATCCTTCAAGTTCAGTTATGCTTCTCCGGTTTTAATTTGTGATAGGGCTTGTGGTTGGTTGTTCCACTGTATTGTCGAACTCACACTTTCTAATCGCTGTCCAACTTCGGTCCATTGAGCCATATAGAAGTTAACAATGGGCGATAAATATTCATTTTAGTGAACACAGATAAACTTCAAAGTCTTCGTGACTCTGAAAGAAAACGACGTCCAACCATTATAAATGCCTTTAAAAAAAGAAAAAAAAAAAACCTTTTTTCTTATACATTTGTGTGTTTTATTTTTACGGCTAGCTTATATTTATGCCAAGCTTGATCTTTCTGAGGCGTGCGCATGCAGGACGAAAACATAGATTTTTTTTTTTTCTTTCAAACGCAAACAGCTTAATATTAACCTCCATGTTACTGTGCAAGCGAATTACTTAACGAGCGAATAGCCAGCTGGTTTAAAGGTGAGCGATTACTATTCTGGCTGCTTGTAACAACGCTAAACAAACCCCGCGAGGCAACAAATGTGACAAATTATAGTTCTTATCTGTCTGCAGTACGGTGCTAAGGTGAACAAGGTGATTATCGTTAAACATAATAAAAAGACTACAGTGAAAAGATCTGAACGAAAAGGTCCTGTGTTTATTCGTTTTGTTCATGCCTTTTGTGTGCTTTTTATGTGTTTATTCATCTCCAGCGCATACTAAAGCAAGAACATTGCATGGCAAACCTTAAGGCCCGTTTAATCACTCGCGTTTGCGTAGGACCGCGTTCTTGCCATCTCGAACGACTAGAGAACACACTGCCACGCTGGCGCCATCTATGAGGCGATCCTCGAACAGCATTCCACTAGAACGAAAGTTTTACGATTACTCCGAGATTAAATCTACTATATAGGGGAAATGATCGTTCATAACATGGTAAGAGTTTTTCAAGCCTAGAAAGAACATTATGTGCGAAAAACAGAAATGTACAGAAACTGCAAGTGTTCCACGGTTACCCGATAGATGACGCCAGCGTGCTTTCGTCGTAAGGGATTTTGAGCTTTTGAAGCACACGGACGTAAGCAGTCGCAAGTGCGGAAACCAACCTCTACGCCCGTTCTAGGTCTCGTTGAAGTCGGCGGCTACGACCAACTGATGAAGGCGTTCGCGACAGCCGAGCCTACAAACGCTAGCTACGCCCGCTACACGGCCACCAACGAGTCGTGCTCAAGGGTTCCCGACAACTACAACCACCTGTTGCGATCGCCTTTGGACTCTGAGCTGCCCTGGACTGGAATGGTCTTCGGCAGCGTTGTTTGCGCCATCTGGTACTGGTGCTCTGACCAGGTACACGCACCGGTTTCGTAATGGACCTTCTTACCAGAAACGAGCGCCGTCTGCGGGTTTGTCTGAACTACAAATGAAGGGCAACTCAACATGCCCCCCCTCGTAAAAAAAACCCTTGGCATTGTGCCGTTGCACCGGTTTTCACTGCTTCTTATTTACCACATTACCGATACTCAAAAATAACACCAGGGAAAAGGAAATATGCGCAACGATAGGTGCTGATAATGTTGGTCGTGCGGATCGGTGCCCTCAGACAATAGTTACAGCTCGAAGCAAGGCCAGGTGAGAGGGTGGACGCGCTTCGCATAAGCTTAATAAAAAAGGTCCGTTATAGGCTTGAAAATTAACCTCCTAAAAGTCCCAAGACAGCAGCCGAAGTCCGCGTATGTGTGTGTGTGTGTCTGTGTCTGTGTGTGTGGTTGTGTGTGCGTGTGCGCGTGCGTGCGTGTGTGTCATTGTGTTTGTGTGTGTGTGTAAGAGATGAAAATGTGCAATTGCGAAAGTCTACGATAAATTGCGTTTTAACTATTTAGAAAGAAGGATGTACGTGATATTAAATAGACGCTTTGTTCTAATGTTCATTTGTAGTGTAAGGTATTTAGTAGCAAGGCGTTGGATTACGATTGGCCACTGCGTGATCAAATGTTTGTGCTGCAAGCCTGTTCACGTGACCATGCAAGGAGGCCAATAGCTGTGCAAATTTGTTTTTTGTTAATTTGGCTTTAAATATAAATGTCTCCTTTTGTCAATTTATAACAAAATATTTCTAAAACACTCCTCGATGTACAAAATATGTAGTTATATCAAACATTTTCATCTTTGAACATTAGTTTTAATGGATTCTGTATACATTGTTTTTGTTTACAAGCACTGCGCCGTAGCGTGTTACTTCCGTGGCTATATGCGCATCAATTTGCAGACCAGTTGAGAAGTGAAATGCTTAAGGGTCATGACATTTCATATGCATTTCTAAACTGAGAGTCTCGCACGTAGTTCATTCAAACTCTAAACGTCTAAAGCTCCAAGATAGGAAACAACAAAGGGCTTCTCGGGTAAATTTCAGGTGATCGTTCAGCGCGCCCTCTCAGCGAAGAACATGGTGCATGCGAAGGCCGGGTGCGTCATGGCCGGCTACCTGAAGCTCCTTCCCATGTACCTCCTGGTGATTCCTGGCATGGCAGCCCGCGTTCTTTTTCCAGGTACGCTGACAGATGTCGCGTAAGTTGTTATATATGTAACAACTATCGCAGCCATGTCTGACTTGACAAAACATTTTGTACTCCAGACTCAGGGCTGCCTTGGTTTATAGCTGAAGAGAGCGTAATACCCACATTAGATATAGAAATATTCTGTATCTCTACACGAATTTGATTGGGATTTGCAAATGAATAGAGCACACTCAAAAATCGCTTGGATAAACAACTAATGTACGTATAGTTGTGTTCTACACTTCTGGTTTCTTTGCAGACTGTTCTGCTGAGACAGATTTTTCTTTCTACGCACTCTGTCTACTTCCTGGTTCCCTTCCATTTACTATAATTACCGTAGAATTGGTTATACAGAAAAAATAACGCGACTAAAAGATGGTTTAAAACACGAACAGTTGTGCACATATATCTTTTTTGTCATTTCCACTGTTACTAAGATAACGTAAACCTGTATTCTAATTCCCGCAGGTACAAACTTTTTGGTTAGAGGATTAAATTCAAGGTCGTGTATCATAACGTGCATTTCGTTCTTCTTTTAATTAAGGAAGTGATGCAAGAGAAATCTGTTGATAGAATTTAACGTATACCTTCCGGGAAGTGTGCGCATTATTACCAGACGAAATAAAAAAGACATTATTTTGTTCTACGTTCTTTAACTTTGCCAAGCATGCAGCAAATAACTACTCCGGTGTCTTGCATCGGCGACTGCCACTGGTCTAATGAAGACTTTGCAGATTGAGGCTGGTTGGCTGAAATAGGAGTTTTTCATCTATTTCTTTTAAGTAAAACACTCTTTTGTTTGCTGACAATTATCGGTGGCAAATAAAGTTAATTTGTATAGGCTTCCAGTCGCTACGAAATTTTTGTTTAAGTTGTGGGTATTTAGCGTTAGATAGCTTTCGATAATAAGTGTAGCATATAATCTCATCACACTAAACTATCTATAGGACGATCTCATCCAATCTTTCGCGTACTCTTACTGACCGGCCAGTTTTCACCTTGTCCTTGCAACAGATCTCGTCGCCTGCTCCAGTCCCGAGCGTTGCCGCGAAGTCTGCGACAACGAAAATGGATGCACAAATATTGCCTACCCATTATTGGTTGTCAAGCTTATGCCCGTTGGTAAGATATATGCGTAACGCTAGAAAAGCGAGCAAAAGGCCTTAAAACCTCTGTCACTTAATACATAAATCAGTGTCGTATTTATTTCATACTGGTAGGTTATACAAGCTTAGATAATGCTAGCCTGGTGCAGTATTACCTCTCTTGCTCTTGCGCTATATAACACTTAACAACTCTTAATCTCCAAACTTCTGAGAAGAACGATAAAGATGTCTGACTTACGTTGTTCTGAAGCACTTTTTTTCTGAATTGAGAGATCCATAAAATATGCACAGCAACTAGAATTAAACTAATAAATGTTCATTTCCACTTAAAAATAAGGATTTCAGCAGCCCGCATTTCACTTGAAACCCTATCATTTATTGCTAAATGTATTTCACAGGTGCGCGAGGCATGATGCTCTCCGTGATGCTGGCAGCACTGATGTCCTCGCTGACGTCCATCTTCAACAGCTCTTCGACCATCTTCACCATCGACATCTGGAAGAAGTTTCGCAAAAACGCGTCGGAGATGGAACTGCTCATTGTCGGAAGAACTTTCGTGGTTGTTCTGGTTGGCGTGAGCATCATCTGGATCCCCATCATCGAGGTATTCCCGAGCAGCCAGCTGTTCCACTACATTCAAGGCGTCACCAGTTATCTCGCGCCACCGGTCTGCGCCGTCTACGTCCTCGCTGTCTCCTGGAAACGTATTAATGAGCCGGTAAGTACGATAGCTAACAAACTCTGGGTTGTTTCTTTACGGGAGTGCCAACTGCAGTGCTTGAACCTATCCAGGAGCTGTACAGGGGCACAACGGTTGTGGTGTAGTGGGAGGGCATGAACACTCAACCAATCCCAGTGACCAGGAGCCACCGGCAGAAATGTTCCTATTCGCCACTCTTGTTTATATTGCCGGGCGCGCAGCTGACTAAGTAGGCAGCGCGCTCGTGGACTAACGGTTATCACGCTTGCATTCCACGCAAAAAGCAAAGGTTCGATGCCTGGTCGCGGGTACACATTTTTGTTGACTCTGTAATGTAATGTTCTGGTAAATTCGAGAACTGTTCTGGCTAATTTGAGGTTAAAATGTTCTACGCGCCGAACATTCAAGGCCGAATGTTACAGAAACCCACGCCGGTACAAAAGGTGCTCCGCGGGGCGAGCCGGAGTGAGTCTCGCCCCACCGTTCGATCCAGCTGTTACGCCGACTTCGACGCCTGCGACACTCTATTGTTATCCTCTGCTTTCTTTTTGGTTTTGGGCACAAGTTCGCCTCATTAAACGTTTCAGTTTCCTTAGTTATTCTTTGTTTCGTCAACTCATCAATCGTGACATAATTATAATGTCTAGATGGGAGGCCGAACTGAAAGAGTGCGAGATGTGTCTCGACCTTTTCTACATGAAGAACGGAAAGGTAGTGAAGCTGCTCCTTTCAGGACTTTTTCTACGCGGATTATGTGGTGCTTACAGCAGGGTCATTCGAGGAAATGCAGTAAATGTTGGACATATGCGCAAAGCAAGGGGACAGACTGGGGCTACAGTTCAGCTCTTGTAAATGAAAAGTGCTGAAGCGGGGGCATACAGAGGATGCCAGAGGGGCTTCAGACATGCCGCTGGTATAGCAGAAAAAGATCATGCAGCGTCACGAGGAGTGCAAGTACGTGGGTATAGAACTCTCCACGAGCGAGGACTACTTACAGGCACAAAAATCCGCAGTCAGGACAAAAGCCGTGAGAGGGAAGAGATTGCTGGTGGCAATGTTCATGTGGGCTTTCGACCGCTATGAGGTAGCTCGCAGCCTCTAGAAGATGGTGAAGGCGCCCGGTCTGACGTTCGCGCACAGCCGCGTCGGCCGAGTTGGCCGACGCGGCTGTGCGCGTCGGCCAACTCGGGAGTACCTACAAGTACGACAGCGGGAAGCAAGGCATATGGCTCGCGGGGCACACAGAAGAGCGCCGAACGAGGGGGTGCAGGAAGACCTTGGGCGTTCCGCTTCTGGAACGAGGGAGGCTGTGGGCAAACTGGCCAACGAAAGGTGACTGTGCAGCCTCGGTGAGGAGCGCTAAGCCAGGAAGATTTTCAAGTACCTAGTATACACGAGTACAAACAAGCGCCTGACCAGGCGAGTAGCCAAAATCGCGTGGAACTGCCAGGCACCGCCAAACATGCTTAATGGCCAACCGCTCCTAGATAGCGTTACTAACCTAAGGAAACACGTGCAGCAGGTGGAGACCAGGAGGTGAGCGGAGTCGGCTCCACGAAACCCGTCAATGCTGATGTACGCATCATCGAGGTTAAGCTTCGAGCGGTAACAGCTGTACGACGACTCTCGAGGCTGCGGCCTTCTTTTCGAGGGCCGCGCGGGAGCTTTGAAGACAAGAGTGGGGAGGTCGCGCTTTGACACCAGATCGCCAACCACCTGTGTCGTCTGCGGATCAGCAGATAAGACGACTGAACACCTGGTACAGGAGTGCGAGGACCTCAGCCCATGATTTTGTGCAGACGGGCTGACGGGGGCGTTGGGTTTCGGACGACGGGGGTTGAGGGCGACAATCAGGAACACGTGAAGCACATAGAGACCACCAAAAGCAGGCTAAACCAGTGGTGGGAGCGTTCCTGGTGGTTGTGTAGGACGCGAACTGGCCCGAACTAACTCCAAGTGTTTCAGACACAAGCCGGACTCTTGTGACTGACCCAGGCCAACCCACCGATCCAACACACAAAGAGCTCGGCTAATCTTGGCCGGGCACATGGTGGGCCCAGCCGAGCTAACTTTTAGCAGGCCCTCACCGGAACTTCGGGCGAGCAGCCCCTCGTTACAAAGGGGTTGGCATTAAATCAAATCAAACCCAAAAGCATATCATAATGATTATTTAGGCAATTCCCCACGCTGACTTTTATTAATATGACCAAGATCCTTCATTCCCGTCTCTTTTCGACCATTTATAAAATTGTCCGCTGTAACGAAGTCAATACTTTATTTGATACAAGCAATACTATTTTTTAATTCTCTTGAAGAAAATGCAAGTCACCATCTATCTGGAACATACACAGTGTTGCATTTGAGGATAACTATTTAATACGTCTCTGAAATAACAGGGTTCACAGCGGAGAATATTTGCCTGGGAATGTTCCCCAATACGCTTGCCTCAATATCTTTTGCTTCACACACGTCACTCGATATTCAAAGCTACGGATAAACACCAAACCAAGCAACACGAGATAGTGAGTCTGCGCTCGCTCTAATTTCACGGTTGTTTATAGTGCTGGACGTTACTCAGCTGCCTATTGCAAAGAGGACTCAGCTGTGTTCTCAGTCTAGAAGTTTCAATTCGCTCAACTGAGACGTTTAAATCCGCCCTATGAAGTCAGCGATCATCGGTTACCTTATTTTATACATTAAAAGCCAAGCTATGTGTGTCCTGTGGCAGCTCGACTTTATTTTAGAACATTTGCTGCAAAAACATTCATGGTGCCTTGGGGAATCTGACAGTGTACCTAAGAAAGTGACCTTTCTTTTGTTGCTTTACTTTTAAGCCTTTCGAGCTGGTGCTAGCCGCTGCTTGGCGATGTTCTGTTTTTTTGGAAGCAGCACTACAATTTACGCTACATTCGACTCGAGCGTGTGCTCACGCCACTCAAGGATGTGTTCTTAGCATATACTTTACCCAAAGTTAAACTCATCACCAAATACAAAGGAAATTGAGGCAGTAAAAATGTGCGAACGAGGTAAGAGTTGGCAAGTGAAACATCACAAGAAGATATTTGATACTGACGAATCACATTAACCCACAAATATGAAATCGCATAAGCGATAATGGAGGTACTTAAAATTTGAAGAATGAAAACAAGAGTGTTGCTGTCTCGTCCTCGCCCTTCCTTTTTTATTATTTCAATTTTAAGTGTCTACATTTTAACACACTCGTCTTAATCTGTCGATAACTGCGGACTGAGCAGTATTTTTAAATACGGGAGACAACCGCCCTCAAAAGTGCCCCTATGAAACAAGGTATTGGTCAGTCGTGGAAATACAACTTGCAGCTGGGAACTTCATCACTTTAGGCAGTTCGCTGCAAGAAAACCTACTCAAAACACTGGTGATAGCTTGAGTATCAACATGACCTAAGGAGGATGTGCCTTTTCTTCTAGCTCTGAAGAAAATAAAAATGTCGAGCATATAACGCCTTGCCCAGAATAGATGCTCATCTTCATTGTTTTGTTTATAAGTCGTACCCTGTTTTAAAGGTAGGACAATTATACTTTCTTCCGAGGAAATAAAGTTTTCAATGCACCTTTCAAGGTATCAAAAACGTTTTAAGTACTGATTTCTTGCCGATTTTCTAACAACTTATCAGATATTAGTTATAATGTATTACGCCAAACGACACCTATACTATTAGAAACAACTCAATACATTAACTAATGGCGTAGGAAGCATTTTAGATTTTGTTCTCTCAAATTTGCAAATTATAAGCTTAAGTCTTGCTTCCGATCTTTGGTACAAGTTGAGGCATCCACCTTTAATTGTTCATTTTTTTTCTTCCGTGGAAATCGCGAGTATCGTCGAGGCCGTACGCTTACTATTTTTGAAAGGGAGACTACTTGAGTTTGTATAAATCTATCGAAACTTTTGATTGGTCTTATGTTCTCTCGCTATGTCTGATGTCGATAGTGCAATCGAGACTAACCCTAATTGTACAAGATGCCATTGGCACTTCCGTGCCGAAACGTTCAACTAAATCTTCCAAATATCCTTAATGGTTTTCTATGAATTTAAAATATTATTTACTCAAGAAATAACATTTTTACCGGCTTTAAAAAAAACTTCGGTTCTTCTATCGAAAAAAAATGTAGTCTGTATTGTACTCTGGCGAAAAAAAAAACGTTCAAGCGTAATAAGCGTTTACATATTGATAGCGTAGAAAATAGCTTCATTTGCCGATCGACAATTTTCTTGAAGTTCACGTAACAACATACACGTGACGCTAGCCAAATTATCTCTAAGTGACTGTTCAGATAACGCCCAAGGTTGTTTTTTTCGGCACTTCATAAAGTTGGGAATGTTTTCGCGCATTATTTTAGAGGATATTTTTTCTGGTGGCCAGCAATCTGTTCGTCAGGGAGTTCGGCAGCTGACTGCATATTATTTCAGTGCTATAGAAGTATATTATGTTGGTATCGCAGGGGCAATAAGAAAGTTAACACTTAAGTTTTCATCTGGCGTCAATGGTGCACCAAGCTTTATTATCAAAGGTTAAGCTGTGCTGTTCATTCAAATTTTGAAACACATTTTCAACCTATCACTCAGCTCGGCCGTCTTACCGTCACTCAAAAATAAAGCGGCAGTTGTTTCTAACTTAAAATGTGTTCTACCAAGATGACTTTAACCCAAGACTGGAGCGTAAGGTGGAAGAATTTGCTGCAATGGAAGAAAATCAGCAGGGACAGACAACGTTTAGAGACGATGTCTACCCCTCCTACTTATATCTTCCACTGTAAAATATTTTCCCTCCTTCTGCTCCAGTCTCGGGTTAAAATCACCATGGTAAGCTTCCACCAGCCCGCCTGCGCACTGAATGTAATTTTGTAAAAAGTGGTGACGCTTTTATAGTCACGAACTACCGTCCCGTTTCCCTGCTGCGTAGATTTTTTTTTAAAGTTTTTGAGATAGTTTTGTTTAGCAGGATTCTCTTCTATTTTCGCCAAACATTTTCGTCCTCGCAGCATGATTCTTTAAATGGCAGGTCTGCAAAGACCGATTTGTGCACTATTTTTTTTTTAAATCACTGTGTGTCGTAATTGTTTTCAATAAAGAGCACGCAGATGCAATTTATATTGATTCGTCAAATACCTTTAACATATGAAAGCATTTATGTCTTTGATTTGTTATTTTCTTTTAGACTGTGATATTATATATTCAACATGAGATGTCTAAGATTTCACAGTGGTGTAAAATATCATTAATTGAGCCGTCTTTTAAAAACAAAAGCGATTTCTTTGTGTCGACGTCGTGGGCTTATTAATCATGATTATCATATTGAAGAAAAACAAATCGAACGGCTATCACTTTTATAAGAGCTTAGTGTATACATCGACTGCGCCTTAACTTCAAACGTCATGTATATTTTGCTGTCGGTTCTTCAATTAAAGTTATATGAATTATATCGTGTTTGACTAAGCATTTTAGAAGGCCCCATTGTTTGATACATCTTTTCAATATTTTAGTTGCTTCAAGCCTTGATTTTTTTCTGTTTTAAAACTTCGCATCTCTAACTCAGGCCCTAAACATTAAACGTGTGCGAAAATGATAAAAAAGTATATAATATATATTATATATGATATAATATGTGTTATATTATATTATTTCGCCACAAAATTTGTTAAACGATTGTGAGTCCTGAATCAAGCCCATCACCTTTTATTGAAAGCTCGATGGCTGTCAGCTAAGAGAGTTATTCACACTTAGATTTATATATACGGGGTTAACGTTTTCAGAATAAAATAAATGCAATAAAATAAATAAGCACTAAACCTAACTTTCGTAGCATGCTATGTCATTTAAGGTGCGTGTTCTCATTGCAGGGTGCTTTCTGGGGCCTGATGATTGGACTGGCTGCCGGCATGTCCCGCTTTATCTGGGAGTTCTCCTACCATGTCCCCGGCTGTGGAAGTCCGGACCCTGACCCGCGACCGGCCATCATTTCCAGCGTGCACTACCTTCACTTCGCGGTGCTTCTTTTCCTGATATCTGTCATCGCCACCGTCGTCATCAGCCTTCTCACGCCACCTATAGATGATAAAAAGGCAAGATTCAATCCAAGTAGCACAGTTCCTTAAGCAAAAGTTTTTTTTTTTTTTTTGTCTGGGAATTTAGAGGCTTAAAAAAACGGCGAAAAAGATCAGGTAGAACCAAGCTTCACCTTCGTTGGCCAGCGTCTGGATATGTCTGTCCCTAATTCGCCGGACAAGTGCGCCCAAGGTATGCTTCACTCCTAGTAGTGTGACTGTCATCTGGCATCTTTGGGGGGAGGGGGGGGGGGGGGAAGGGAGGGGGGTAATTTGCCAGACCAGTGCCATAGTCCCGCTTCACTTCTCGTTGTTCGGTTCTCACGTGGCAACTTTGGGCCGGAGATTTACGCTTCCCTGCTGGTCCTCTAAACTCGTCAAACACAAATTTCAGGCCTAAGTTGACGGAGCGCACCAATTGGACGATCACAACGATGACTTCGCGCTTTTGTCGCCGACGCTCAATCGGCGCGCTCCGCGAACTTTTCTATCAAAGTTTGTGTTTGACGAGTTGGGTGCCCCTGGTCCTTCGGTTTATTCGTGGCATCTTTGCCTCAAGCCTGGCGCCGTGGAAATCATTTGGCTCATAAAACAAATACCATAGAAACGCCGAAAACGTACTCTGGAACTAACTAACGCCTTGGAGCAAAACCGTATTAGGCCTATGTTTGGTCTCTAGGATTTTCGAGCCTGTGCCGATTGTTAAGCGTTTCTCTGGCGTGCTACCGGAAAAGGTTTGTGATTCGTGACTTTTTAACAAAAACTTAAATTATTAGAGGACATTCACAGAGGTCAAGAGGTATTAAGATTTCCTAAACGTTTGATATCAGGGGTCATAAGCTTCGAAGCATTTTTATTGTATTGAGCTACATAATAAAAATGTTAAACTAAGATAGAAAAGCCTAAATCGAAAAAAGGCTACCAGGACAACGATCGAAGTAGTACAAAAAGAAAATTACGATTTGGTAAGGATTCAGGAGAATTGGCTAATTCTATGTGAATTAATGAGGCTCTGTTCTCCAAAATGATAACGGGTGATTATCTTTTCTCAATACATGCAGCAAAATATAATGCTCCAGGAAAACATTTATTATTTTTGGTAGAAATATAATTTCTACCAACACTAATTTAACGGATGTATTACAATGCAATGGTGTTCTTGTTGATCTCTCGTATTTGTGTGTTTTTAATTTTACGTCCAGAAATATGTGCAAGCGTGAATCTTTTCACCAGCACCCTTGCACAGCGTTTTCTAGATGAAATGCGCAACTAAGCGCAAATAAACAATATATATATTATTTTACTTCACATTGCTCTCAAGGAAAGACTTCGCAAGTCACATGAAAATTGATAAACCTTTAGCTTATTAGTGTGAATCTAGAAAATGTGACGTGAAAGAGAAGTGCATGAAAGCCGGGGAGTGCCTGTGCACCGACAGCTGGATCGAGTTTAGCGCTAGTGCATTATAGAAGTTGGCATATTATACATTAGCAATAATTATCCTGTAATTAAAATAATTAAAACTATAATATTAGAGTTGTAGTCCTTAGCCTTGCTTAGTTTAACATATTGCACTTTGTTGTAGTTTAGCATCGTCTATTAATTAGTTAAGCGAAATACAGCTAGGGGTTGTTAATTTTAATCTAGTTTAATTTTGCATATTTCAAATGAGCGTCATCTCGTTTAATCGAATACAACTTAAGATGTTCATCCCTAGCCAGTCATACTGCAATTTCTAACGGCTGATGTAAAGCCTAGCTTTCTAAGAAAATACCTGGAGTCTCTTGACGTCATCATCTTACGCATTGCATTGGCCATAAGCATGACACTTTGTTTTGCTATTGGCGTTTTGCGTCGAGCTATAATGCAGCCACCGACTTTAAGACTTGCACAAGTTTCCACACCTTAACGATTTATCGTTCCTAACCCACGCCTTGCTTCGTGCAGCTCTACCGACTCACCTACGCTACGCGAAAGAGCACTGCGATCCGCGAGGACCTCGACCGACCACGCATCAAGTCTGTGTCTCAGGTCAACGGCGTTTACAACGGTACGGACAATGTGTCGTACACCAAGAGTTCGGAAAACCTGGCCAATGATATTCCGATGACAACCTTGAGACATTCGTCACCTCACGAATCGATTCGGCCTACTCATAAAGGTAAGATCTTCAATTAAGTCCGGATCCACTCTTCTAAATTGCAATACTAACCACTTCTCTCTTGGCTTATATTAAGTTTAAATATATTAATTTTTGGATACCTACAGTGGCAGGGCTTCATGAGCGATTACAGTAAATTGTGTGTGTGTGTGTGTGTGTGTTTGTGTGTGTGTGGGAGGGGGCTATGATGGAGGCAAAAACTGGAAACACCTCATTCTCAATGTTTAAAAAACGTTTATTTTTTAGAAGAAAAAAATTAATGTTATTTCTTTAAGGCACCACTTCTGCAGTACAATGTCCTTACCTTATAAATACAGTTACAATACAGTACAAGCATACAATACAAGACAATAAATACAATACAAGCATATATAACATTCAACTTTATAAGTCGAACGTACATCCTGCTGTAGCATGTCTTCTCCCGTGTTTAAGTTTCTTCAGCGTTTTTTGTTTTGTATGTTTTTAATCTTTAGATTTTTTTTCCTTTATTTGTTTTGCGGATTTGTTTCCGCAGAGGGGCAGAGATAAAGGCACAATGCCTGACCCCCCCCCCCTTCCCCCATCGTATACAGTTCAACATAGGAGCAACAAAAGTTTCAACAAAACTAAGGAAATAACCGCTGTAACGAAATAAAACACGGTATGAACAGAGCACATAAATGAGTGTCAGGAATAAACTCGAAATGAAACGTATACAAAACAGGTCGAACAATTATTTGGAGATAAAAAACATCTGCGCTTTCTGTTGATGCGCAAATGACAAAAGTTGCAATAGGTCAGACAGATACTGCTATGCAAATCCTTGAATACTGTACGGCAAAAATCAAACAATGTTGCACCTAAAAAAAAAGAAAAAAAGAAAACGTTTTTTACCAGAGAAAATGCCACATAATCGCCACTCGCATCTTTCTGAAAAATTGTTTAAAACTACCAAACGGCTGGTCAAAGTTTATGTTTATAACTGTTCTGTTAAGCATTTTAGTTATCTGAAAATGTGATGCTTGTCAACCATAGTTTGTTCTTACGTATGGCGCTTTTCGCTTTGGGTTCCATAGCAAGTCTAGATTAGAACTGTTAATGGGCGTCGAGTGGAGTCTAGTTCTATATATTCCTTGCAAGAGTTTAGAACAATAAATTTGATTTGCCTTGAGAATGTTATACTTGATAAAGAGTGGCTGCGTTTTTAAAATCCTTATATCGTCTTTATAATTTTCACATATCTATAGTATTTTTTTAATTATTAGTTTAATGTAGTGTGTAGCTGTTGTTGTACCCGACACCATGATGCCTTAACTGATCCTAGAATAAAATAGGGAGTAATATAGGGTTAGTTTAAGCCAGGCAGGAATTGGATTTTGAAGTTTATAAATAATGCCAGTAACTCGGGAAAAGTTAAACAAAACTGTGAAAGTTACACTTTAGCGTTTTGTGCAGGTGCGTTATACGGCCAGGGGGACATTATGTAGGTGGCTAATCATCGCTATAAGTGGGCCAATTATTTATAATACGTTAATTAACTTTTAATTAGTGAAAATAGATATATGGTTTCAATTAGAAACTCACTGAGTGTCATCGAAAACCATTAAAATCAACTCTTTTTAGAACGACTTGGAGCTCGTGGGAAACTCGGGGAAGCGCCAAGTTTACCACTCGTGAAGCAGGCGCAAAGCTAGCAGTGGCGAAACGCGATGATAATCTTATCATCCGCGTTCTGCCACTTGATAATCTTATCATCCGTCACCTTGTTTTGTTGTTGTTTAGTTGTGCTGTTTCGGCAGTGGAGTCGCTGTCGGCTGAGGCTACGCGAGAGTGCGCCAATAGGAGTTTATCTTGTCGATCGCATTCCCGCGTTCGCCGTGCTGTCTGTCCTCACCATTGCATGCACAATGCCAAAGACGCTCGTATTGGCCGAGAAACGCTTTCAGTGCGATGATGCTTCATAGCGATCTTGGTGTGGCTGGTTTTAACGACCCCTCCGAAGGTTCGAAGCTTTGAAAGGGTCCAAAATGGCGATCACCATGGCAACCGATAGCGATGAGCCGATCACCTGTGAGGTTTTGTCGCCTGTATGTTGCTATTTAGTTGTGTCCAGATAGCAAGCGGGAAGGCAAAGGCGCTATTTTCCCAGATCCAGTGACTTTATTTACTCGCCGCCTCCGGTCTCCAAAAACACAGACTTCCTTTCTCAAACCTACGCAAAAGAAGAAATATATATATATATATATATATATATATATATATATATATATATATATATATATATATATATATATATATATATATATATATATATATATATATATATATTGCGACACATTTATCTCCTAAAGGGCAGGGAAAAGGGGACTTGGAGGAAGGGACACATACATGAGATCAACTTGCTGCAACCTAAACCAAAATCAGGCTGACAAACGCGGTCCCCACTATCTCTTGCCTTCGTCTCCCCCTTTGAAAAGCGGCGCACGCGGCACAAGTAATTAGCCAGGAGGGCTTGCATCAGTTTGTGATAAATACCAGTGGATAAAGTACAAGGCCAGACACCTAATGTTTCCTTTACTGAAATATTTATGAATTTGTTTGTTTTTTTATTCACAAGTTCGAAGTAGTATGTTATAAATATATGTTGTTTTTTTTTTTTCTTGCTAACAGGTTTTTTCTACAGAAATAGATGCTACAGACGCCTCAGTGCCATTTCTATTTTGACGATATCAGGCTTAGGTGGGCGCTGCAAGAAAATTTTGCAATTATCTTTTGATCCAGTTACCGCAACATTTTCAAACTTTCGCGTTGTATCCCAACCTCTGGTGTCACATTCTCACGGAGTTCGAGCTTTCGTGCGATGCCTAGTTGATTTCTGCGGGCCGAAAAACAAGGTTTTCTTTTCTCGGGAACTCCCTGTATATTCTAGACCGTGCTCTCGACTAAAGACTCTTCATAAAATTTATCCTTCGTGTTTTTCACAAGTACCAACAACATTGTCCTGTCGTGTTTGCATCACTACTGCGTGATGCACGTTAAAGACCCCAGGCTAGCGGTTATACTGCACTGGCTAAATTGCTCATCTACATATTACAACGGTTAAACCAGCTGAACTACGAAATTAGGGAGAAAGGAGTAAAGACAGGTGATCGCTGGATCACCTGTAAAGACAGGTGATCACCAGCGATCACCTGTCTTTACTCCTTTCTCCCTAATTTCGTAGTTCAGCTGGTTTAACCGTTGTAATATGTACCACCAACTAGCTCAGCTTCTACCCCCTGCTCATCTACAGCTGGGAGACTCGTCGCCCGTTGAGGCAGACCAAGTTCTAGGCTGTATAAACACACACACAACCCAATTTTTTTTGTTCCTCTTCGCAGTCCGTGTTTCCTGAGCTGTTTTCCCCATCATGTGCAACGTCAACCAACTGGCCCAGTTCACCACCTTATTACCAACAACCATTGATATACGAACAGGCAAGACACGTGCCACGAGCAAGTTATGCGCCGCCATTCACTTCCAAGGGACTCAACTCATTTCAGCGCTTCGCTGCCGTTTGTATCCCAGGGCCGCACAAGTCACGGGCCTCGCGCACGGGAGTCTTTGATGTTACTTGAAAAACAAGGGCAAACATATTAGGGTGTTTTACACTTGTCGTAAGCAGTCGCGGTTAAGCTGGAACGCAGTCGATCTGACTCAAACACAAATGTGTGTGTGTAAACCAACCTTCAGGACGTGCGACAAATACCTCTACTTACAAAGAGCATTGTTTGCATCTCTTTTGACCCGTGACAGAAGTTTCCGGCCTCAAGCGAGCGCTGTTCTGCATCTGCGGCGTGACGTCCACCCAGCAAAAGGCAGAGGCGGAGGCGGCGAATCCGCTTCCCCGCCTTTCTCCGGCGGAAGAAGCCCACGAGGCTGCCCGGTCCCTGGAAGAACACCCGCTCTGGGGCAAGGTGTGCAACGTGAACGCTGTCGTGCTTCTGGTCGTGGCTTCCTTCGTGTTGGGATTCTACGCCTAGGCAGTCAGTCACGTGATCATTCGCATCATCGTCGTCTTCCATCACGTCATCTGAGAAAGGAGACGGATCTGACCAGCGGGTTTCGTTACGCAGCCGCTGCCGACGTGCGTTGTGGGAACTGTAGTATTTCTGCATGCCCGACAACTCCATGGCGGGTGTGCGCGAGCAGAGTACGAGGAATGTACTGTCGCCTGCCTCCTGTGGACCACCGTTATGGCGGTGTCACGTATTTGTAGAACTGTTAGTGAGATCGGTCTATTGCATCCTTGAAGACGACACTTTAATCCGGTGTTACGCATCGCTTCAAAATGTACCACCAGAATTGAGACTGGCGCATGTTGAAAGGGAATAGAACTTCATACTCCGTCGTGGTGGTGAGACTTTGGACATATTAAGGGATTACGATGTATGGTATGTTTTAGGTGTTATTTTATTTCGTTAAAATAGCTCAAATACTTCGTCCCCGTGTACGAAGAATGCATTTTCGGGAAAAATATTTCGTTATGTATATATCAATGAGCCATTGTGCTAATGCGCTGTCTGGACGGGTATTTATTTGTGTAGGACGAATACTTTCAATTTGTACTTGATATTTGTGATGGTTAATTATACCATCGAAAGCGTCTATGACCTTGAAAGTTTAACGGCTCCATATAGTCCTAAAGCATTATCTAAAAATGTAACGCTTAGACCATTATACTGTAGAAGCTGATTTTATGTTAAACATCTTGTAGGTGCTGACTTGTTAACACGACGTCTTTCACTATCATGGACGGATGCAAAACAGTTTTCTCAAACTCTTTTTTTTATTTGCATTTGGCAGGAGTCACATTGTTTTGCGCCATAAACTCACTTCAACATTGGTGACGTCCCCATGAAACGCGGGCATTCCTAAGATTTTATTTACGCTACCACTCAATACGATGAATAAACGTTTCACAGACCTGCTTTCCCTGTGTTTTTTGTTTAGATCATGTTGTTTAGTCAACGTTTTGTTATGATACAAATCATATCCTTCAAGCCAGCACAAAATGCTCATGACATTAAGTGATGAGTAATTATGAGTTATTACCTATTCACTATGAAAAAGCCATATGTTCATGGCTAAGTTTCACTTTAGACAATGGTTGACATATTAGCGTATGGTTGTTGGCCCTTTTTATGAAACGAAAACAAATGAGGATGTCATTAGTTTCGTGTAAAAATGCCTTATGTCAATTTTACGCATAAATTATTTGTTTTCCCTAAACATTCCGAGATTATACTCAGTTCTCTTTAGAGGAACAGGTTTTCTTCTCTTTACTCGCCTGCGCGTCTTGAGGAAATAGAAAAAAAAAAACTGTCGGCCTGACTGTTTTTCTTTTTTTTTTGCCTGTGTGCGCTTAGAGAAGACGGGAGGGGAGATTTGAAGGAACCTACAGCTAGATAAACTGCCTCACGAAGGACTGAATTCCGAAAAAAAAAATATTTATAACCTACAACTTCGAAATTGTATATAAAACGAACGAATTCATAAATATTTCACTAAAGAAAAAAATTAAATGTCTGTGCGTCCTTGTAATTTTTCCAGTAACTGGAATTTATCACGAACTGATACCAGCCCTCCTGGTATATTACTTGTGCCGCATACACCATAGTTATGCGCCCCACCAGCAACAAAAAACCAAAGTTCACTGCTCCGAAACTAGTCTTATGATGACCAACTTTTGTTCGGAATTTTTAATAGCGTCACAACATGCTTGCAGTCACAGGCTCCAACGTTTCTCGTAATGTTTAATGTTTAATGTTTAATGTTTTATTTGCTCAGGAGAGCGCGGCACCGCAGAAAGGCAAAAGCCCGTCCCAAGGAGGCCCGCGGTGCCGTGTCTAGTGATGGTGATTATGTGATGATGTAATGTACAGATGAAAGTGATGGTGATTATGATATGGTGTGTTAGGCCTAGCAGCAATCTTCGCGGTGATGGTCTTCGCGGTGCTGCCATGGGCTGCTTACTTCTGGCAGGCCGGTCTCAAGCGCCTGGGGAGGGCTCTTCGCGTGCCATACTTGCATACGAGCCGGCCGAATTACCGGCGGCGCAGGGAGTCCAGCACCCCCGCAGGGGTTGGCGCCGGTGTTGGCCAGGCGGCGGTCTTTACGAAAGCGGGCCTTGGAGTCTCCCAGCTTGCGGTCCAGCTTGTAACTGAGCAGCGTGTCGATCGAAGACATGGTCTGTGGCACTGGTTCGGCTGGATCTCTGAAGATCGAAAAGACACGTCTTACGCCCAGGTGGCTTCTTCCTGGCAGCCTAATCGCGCTTCCCGGGAGACCAAATGTTATCGTTTGATGTTCTAGCAGACAAGAGACTGGATTTAGATAAGATTCCTCGCCATACTCAAGAAAACAGCATTGTGCTGAAATCACTCGAATTCCGAAATACACGTTCGACAAACAATCTTCGGCAGTCAGCGTTGATATCATTTATGTCCTACGAAGTAATCTTTATAGTCGATATAAGAGGCTTGCATCTTACCTAGGAGAGGAAAGATTGTACGACTACCGAGAAATTTATGTTCCGCATATCTTGCCCTACATTCCGGAAGAAGATTTATTTCTCCGTATGGCGCATCGTATGTCGTGTAGGTTTAGCAAAGTTAACCTCGAAAGGCAAAAGGGAGCTTTGAGGCACCTCAAAATAACAACGCCAATAAAAAATTTTGATATCACTCGTGTTGAATTTTTTTTACTCTCGTTTGTACGCTGTTCCTAAACATCGGAATATAGTGAAAAAGTGTTGAGAATTTAATGACCCCCACGTCTCAAAAAGGTCCCCAAGAAAATTCACAAAAACAAAGTATATAACACCGAGAATTTCAAAAGGCATGGAAGATGCACTCCGCAGCAAGAAACTCAGGTCGCCTTTAAAGACGGCCAAGGTGATCTTCCCACATTAAGCAAATTTTTCTGAAGATAGTTTTATGTGACGCCGTATTGTTCTTGGTTTTGAGTACAACGAATAATTGTTAGGCTTGTACCACGTCACACACGCATTTCTTTTGAAAAAAAAAAGGAATACAGATTATTTGAACTGAACCTCAAAGAGGATGACATCTGGCTTGATGATAGAACCTGTGACTAGGGCTCTGAATATCCTCAGGAGCCCAGGAATATTGATAAATACCTGCAGAAAAAAAACTGATAAATGTTTAACAAAGGCTTATATTGCAATCCTTTGACGTCAAAACGACGTGCTATTGATTCTTGAAAGGTACGGTTCGCAGATTATTTAAGGTTCGGTTCTCAGTTTCTCAGAGTATATAAGGTTAAGAAGCACTTCTGATGCACAAAGCTTAAGTTACTCAATATAAGGCTTTTTAATGCCGTCAACATTAATCTTGAGTCCGCGACTTTTAGTTATTTCGCCCTCGTACACGGTCGTCTTCCGTTGGAGTTGAGCCCACTTTGTCGACAATCCCACGTCACAGGAAGCATTGTGTGGGCTAACCACTCAAAGCTGACTCGGAGAAAAGCCTTCCCCACATTTTTAGTTTTGTTTATGTATTTATATATCAAACTGCTGGCCTTTCTGTGATGTTTAGTAAAACGTTGTAGACAGCAAAGATGTGAAATGTAGAATTGAAAGATTATTGCGCAGGCGAGCTACAGTTACACGCAATTCCAGCGCTACGAGTAGCAAAGCACGCTTATTCCGTAAAATGTAAAAAAATGAGCGTATTCAACGCAAGTAGGATGCGAGTACATTCATGTGTCAATGTATGATGTTTGGTCAAATTCGGAAAACAAAAAAACACACGTTAAATGTTAATGCCAAAAGTTCTCTTAGTACAGATGCACAACGACTCCGTCTAGCACGAACAAATTTGAAGTACGAAAGTTCAAACATGGCATAATCGTGTTGAGTAATTTGGAAGAGATGCCATGTATCTTAACTACTATAATTAAACATCATCTAAGCAGTCAAGCATTGCATATAGAGCCAGGCATCTTAATAAGAATTCTCCCTTGCATAATTTGCTCATTCTTACAACTGATTACCTTAATTGTTCACCAAAATACTGATATGTACATTGTGACTGCAGCGTTAACGCGTTGCTGGAGTGAAAATGGTAAGTCGTGTCGTAAACCTATAGCGCCACAAACTTTCCAAGCCCATCGCAACACGCAGGTGTAAAATTATATAACTTATGTTCACATGTCCTTTGAATCTAAGAGCTAAGTGTGTTTGAGGTGTGTATTACAAAATAACTCCGCACAAAACGGTCCCAAACATAATGGCATAAGGAAAGCTTTTAAAACTCTACACTCTCTTTTTTTTTTTATTTATTGAATCGCGACTTCAAGGGTATATTACAGGGGTGGCCAGGCTGACCCGGCCTAGAGCCGCAAAGGAAACCATGAAACTTCTAAGAGCCGCCGAAAGGCTGGAGGGGGGGGGGGGGGGGGCAAAACAAACACCGCTGCCTGGTTATCCCCCCCCCCCCCCTCCCCGAAAGCATAAAAAAAGCAGCTTGCGGGTCACAACTGCAAGCCGTTAAAAATAACAATGAGAATGTTCCTGGTTCTTTGTGAACTTGAACAAACGTTTGCGACTAGTGGAAGCTATGAATGAGGTCAACCCGGGCTTCCGCGACCTTCAAAAAGAAACAAATAGGGGGAACATCCGTTACCTAAAGGGGACAAGTATCACCGGCGAGTGGCAAAGGCCACGAGAAAAAAACATTTTCTCGACCCCAAGGTAAAGTGCATGCATGTTTTCACAGTCCCTGTTCTTGATGCCTTTCCCCCTAGGATCCTGGCAAACTCTCTCGAACAATGAAAGAAACAGGATCTGTGGAAACATAGGAGTGAAAAGCGGTTCCACTGCACGTCTGTGGGCACAAGGCTGCCAAACCGCAAGCTGTTCTTTATTCTGAAATCCTTTCCATTTTCCTGGGGAAACGCGGAAAGGGGTGAGGGGGGGGGGGGGGGGGGTCCCCTTACGAGGGATTTGCGAGCCGCACCGTGACCAGTAAAGAGCCGCATGCGGCTCGCGAGCCGCGGTTTGGCCACCCCTGGTATATTAAGAGGGCGATAAGTGTATTTCTAATACAATCCTTTGTACCCAACAAGTAGTAGCGTATTCCAATTTTCTTACGAGTTTGTTAAAGCCCCCTATTTGTTTCATGCGGCTCCAGCGCTCGACGAGGAAAAAAAAAATTGTCAGGTAATGTGGCCGATGTCCGCGCAAACGTTTCAGCATCTCTCTCGTCCAAACTTTTCGAAAACCAAGTTTATCGTGAATGATTCCATAGGCACAACCTTGGCTGATCTGAACATGGTTTTCCAGTTCAGATTTGCCAGTTCAGATTAGCCAGTTCACGTGTACGCTAAACTCAATATTGTAATCAGTCATGGACGTGAACAGGCGTCCGGTTCCTCCTTCGGACCTGACACGAGTACACCCTCCCTTGAACTTCTGCACCCACTCAAACACACTTTTTCTTTACAAAAAACCTTCTGCGTACTATGCCCAAAACATCGGTACCAGACACACTGAGTGAGTTAACACACTGCACCTCGGAGCACGTGGATCGAAAGCTTGCCCCGCAGTACCCAGAGATCCTGAGTTCCATCCCCACCCTTGACCGTTTTAGTTTGCGGGGTGCGCGTTAGATACTCTAGACCAGGGGTCTCCAAACCCCGGCCCGCCGGACAGATATACTCGCGGCTGGTCGCGGTGCTTCCAATGAAGCCCGGCCCGTGGACCACTTCCAGGAGACCCACCGCTACCGGAGCAAAATGAATTGCACATAAAGAAACGGCGTTGCAACGCGCTCCAAATGCGCAAACGAAGATACCAGAAAGAACGAGAGAAACCGCATCGTAATGGGGGTCCTCTCGTCATAATATTTTTTGAACATTGACACCATCGTCACCATTCTTAGCCGCGTTGATTCATGTCTCTGTAACA